ACTATGCAACATGGCTTCTTTAAAGGCCGTTCAACAACTACGAATTTGCTCGAATTAATTAATTATTCCTTGAATGCAATGGATAACGGAAACCATGTAGAAGTGTTGTATACAGATTTCAGCAAAGCGTTTGATCGAATTGACATACCCATGCTTCTTTTTAAACTTCAAAAAATGGGAATTCATTACGCACTCCTCAAGTGGCTTGAATCATATTTAACTGACCGTCATCAAATAGTAAAATACAAAGGAAAGATATCAAATCCCGTTGATGTCACTTCAGGAGTTCCTCAAGGCTCCCATTTAGGACCACTTTTATTTATTCTCTTCGTCAATGACATATCTTTCATTATTAAGAAATTGAAAGTTTTAATATATGCTGACGACATTAAACTTTTTTTGGAAATAAAAGATGCCAAAGACATCATCACATTCAAAGAGGAAATTCAAATATTCCATACTTGGTGTCAAAAAAGCCTGCTACAATTAAATATAAAAAAATGTAACTCCATTACCATTAGTAGAAAACAAAAGCTACCCGATATAACAGTCACTTTAGGAAACCAGATCGTAGAAAAATGTGATAGAGTCAGGGATCTAGGTGTTATTTTGGACTCAAAACTTACTTTCACCGATCATTATAACACAATTATTAACAGAGCTAACAACATGCTTGGTTTCATAAAACGTTTCTGCTATAACTTTCACGATCCGTATACGATAAAAACATTGTACATTGCTTATGTAAGATCGATGTTAGAATATTGCAGCATAGTTTGGTCACCTTTTTCAATCACACACGAAGAAAGAATAGAGTCCGTTCAAAAGCAGTTTCTATTGTATGCACTCCGCAAGTTAGGTTGGACTGTATTTCCTCTGCCATCTTACACAGCTCGGTGTATGCTCATAAATATCCAAACATTAAAAGAACGTCGTGAATTTGCTATGATTTCTTTCGTAAACGATATCGTATCACATCGAATTGATTCAATAGAACTATTGTCATCCTTAAATTTATATACACCATCTAGGCATTTACGAAATAGAAATATATTTGCTACAAATCGTCATCGTACGAATTATGCCAAATTTGGACCCTTGAACCAAATGATGGATACATATAATAAGCACTGCGATAACATTGACTTTACAATGACAAAAACTAAATTAAAGCAATATTTTAATTCGTCGCATAACGTCAACTAGAAGTAATGTTTTAACTTTTTCTTAAGACATATTATAAAAAATATAAACAAAGACAAAATTGTCAAAATAGCACTTAAGACAACAATTGTAAAACGGTCTACACTGATTGACGACAAATAAATAAATAAACATGGTGAATGCATTCTGAACTGAATTCTGAATCATCCAATAGGTTTTATTCATCAAAACAGCTTTGTCCAAAAACGCTACCTTCTATCTAGTCGAAGTCGCAAGTTATAGCAATAAGAAGTAATATGGTATACTAGCAATAATAAGTTAAAAAGAATACTAGTGTGATGTACACCATTCAATAAGTCTCTTTCACTTGAAAAACTTTTCCGAAGACAGAAACCTTCTATCTAGTCAACATGTCAAGTTAATCAAATAATTTTTTAGTGCCACCTGGAAGACGAATTCTGAACTCTACTGTTCACCTTCCAATAGGCCTTATGCATCTGAACAGCTTTGACACAGACTGTAACCCACTGATGTTATTGTAAATTTGGAACTGGTTACTAGAATTACTCTTTGCGCCCTTGTAGGATAATTTTTAATAAAGATATTTTTTTTTTCAATATCTGGTTACCATGGAGCAGTGCTGTAAATTCCCAAAATCAATTGAACAATTTTGATGAAAATGAGAAAAGCAGCTATCCGCTATCAAAGTGGACCTCCTTTGAATCGGTGATATCAGTTGCTTAGTCATTTGACGAAGGCACGGATCATTCATATTTGAGAAACGCTTGATATCATTCAATTTAGTGTAACCTACACATAAACGGAGCTCTGGTCGACATTCCGGCGAAAAAGCTAGGCCAACCCGACACCAACCTGACTTCTACCAAACCCCAACCCGATGTTTGCCCGACATTGACCCGACATAAACCCAAAAATGACCCGGCAGCAACACTACATTGGGTCGACATCGACCTTAAATTTTCCTTACATCGATCCGACATCGGGTCGACTTGTCTGTTCGGGACCATTTTGCTGGGTTTCTTCCATACTCCACTGTCGTATATCAAATGAGAGTGAGTGATTCAATTGACAGCAGGGTTCCTTCCATTCATTTCGGCTAAAAAAATGTTTTATTAAATTATGGAATAATAAGATATTATGATAATAATTCTCAAACCAATTATTAGCAACAAGAAAATATTGTAAAGTTTGTGTTTGACACATAAAACTTGCAAATTTAGCTTTGACAGAGTCACAATGAGTGGTTTTCTGATCGCCTTTTCGCGAACAGTGAAGAGCGAAGAGTGGGTGAGATAAATGACAAAATCGCTTATTGCGACTCTCATGTAGCAAAATTGGCAAGTATAATGTGTCAAACACAAACTTTACAATATTTTCGCTTACGCAAACAAAATATTATCATAATATCTTATTATTCAATAATTTAATAATGTGAGAATTCGATTTCACAGAATTGATTGAATGGTTGTATTGGTTCATCTTCAATCGAATGGTATGAAAATTAACAGCACTGCCCTGGAGGGTCACCAGTTCCAACCTGGGTCTGGCGAAGTCGAACCGCAGCCAGCTTCAGACACTATCCAAGACGCATTGCAGCAAGCTTTATTCTGTTCGAACGGTTGTCAAATTGATAAACAAAGCAAATGTGTGCAAGATTGTGAGTGACTCTCTTGAAATATCGATTGGTAGTTGTAGTCTGTTGTAGTTCGTTGTTATTGTCGGTCGCGTTTGGCACCGGAAAACCCCACACCAGACTTTCGATTTTACTCTCGTTCTGTACAACAACAAAGCGTCGGACATGGTGTGCATTATGGCGCATCATTGTACAAATACAGCGCACTATGTCCGACGTTATGTTTTATGTACAGATTGAGATTCATAAAAGTTCCTAAGCAGTTAAAATGCGATGTTACGCAAAGTTTTACAGCTACACTGCAAGTGCACCGGTAAAGAGAAGTTTATTTCGCTTTCCAAAGGATCGTTTCTTGCGCCGCGCGTGGTTGACTTTTTGCGAGATTGATCCGGAAACCCCAGTTCATCAAACTATGAATATGTTTAAAAAAATAATAACAACTACGTTTTACTCAGATTACAACACTCCCTATCTGTTTCTTCCATATGAGCTCTTATAAGAACAGTAAAAAATGGTTCGTTTTTGACAGTTCAAATTGGTTCCAAATCCATTACGAGTCCGCCAGACTCAGGTTCCAACTACTGAACATTTCACTTAAAATCGTGAAAGTGGAGTTACTCACTTAGTGAGTCAAATTTTCCTCAAAAAACTTCTCGAATATGACGAAAATCGAAAATTTAACCAAAAATTACACGGTCAATAAAAGTAACTCAATTCCTGAGTCTAATTCAACTCATTGGGCGCTGTGTGGATACCCGTTAAACAAATTTAAAGTGAGCGCCATTTAAATGCAATTTTAGCTATTCATTGGGGTTCCACGGTATTCAAAAAGTAATTCTAGAAAATCGTGGAAACCTTTACTAATTCACTAAGTAGCCCCTTTTTTTGAAAATTTTGAGTCAAATTCTTCTCAATTTTAAGTTAATCTCATTCGCCGTGTACTAGTGTACTCATAGACTTAAAAGATGTAATCTTCTTTTCTTTTTTACAAGCAGATTTTTTAGGAAAATTTTACTCGCTTTCTACTATTTTGAGAGATTCTCTACTCAATTTTAAGTTAGTCTCATCGGCCGCTACGATTTGACGACCATCACATCCCCAGACGTTCTGAAGTAAAACGTACAGGTAAGCTCTTTTATGATCTCGCAACCAGTCGTCTCTCTCTGTTCTCTCGATAGCCATAGCAAGGGAGCACGTGATTGGTTGATTGCAGTCTAAAAGTTTGATCAATTTTCAATAGTTTGCTAATGATAAATTACAATAATCTTTAAAGAAGAAATGGCTCTAATGTTGGCCTATGGATCTAAGATTGCTATTTATTAATTTTATCTAGATGAACGCGTCATTGGACGGTACTAATGGATATTTTTGGTAGCTATTGAAAATGTAGTCGATTGCTGAATTTATGTATGGGCCCAAATTAGGGGCATTTAGGCCAACATTACATCCATTTCCCCTACCAAATAAATCTTATAACCAATTCCAAAGCAAAGAAAATTAATTGAATTTAAATCCATCTATAAATGGCCAAGTTATAAGCGTTTAAAACCTAACACTATTTCCTAACACAATTTTTGAATTTGGACCCCAGTATAGTCCACAATGGCGTAGTCCTACGTCAAAATCGAGGGAGCCCTATCAACTCACTAATATAAAGAGGCGTGGGTATAGAAATCACGATCTTCTACTCAGTAAGCAAAAACGTTAGCCATATAAGCCTCTAACATCACTATAAACTACTGCAATTGACGATCGGTCAAACCCGACTGTTGCGGGAGTAAAACAAACACTGTTCCGATAGTTGCGGTGACTGAGCAACTTCAAAGCTGCAAATTTATTTCATATTAGGTTAATAAAGTTGTTTTAAGGTTTTACTTTTGAACTTACATTTTCAGTGTTCGCTCATCCGAAAATAAGGTTATGTTTTTCTCTGCCGCACTTCTCTCATCTAGAACCTGTCGTAAAAGCTTATTACATATCGAGTTACACAAGTTCATATGGCAATTCTTTCCGTAGGTACTAATGCTAAGTTATTTTGAACTAATTGAATATAAACGGAATGATTTTACTGGGTATTTAGAGCAAAGTTATCAATTCACTTTTTTTCCTTGTATCGCGCACCAGGTGCTTTTTCGTTTTGACAGTTTCTCGCGCTAATCGTTCGAGGGAGTGGACGGTAGCTTCACGTCTGCGTACGCACAGTGGGCACGGCAACATCCCCCCACCCGTGAGCTTCCCCAGTCCCGGAACGTCCATCCTCTTCAGCGGAGATTTGATCCTTTCTCACGTCCAAGAGTGCCAACTTCACGGCTGGCCTTGAAATGATTCCTCTCGCTGTTTGAACAGTGGCCCGTCTGACCTGGTTGTCAGCTCCCTTGGTAGTTTCAAGAATTCGTCCCCTCGTCCAGCTATTTCGTACGTTTTCGTCGATTACTATGACTAAGTCGCCAGGTTCCAACGGTTTCACCTTCTCAAACCATTTTGTACGCCTTGTCAGCATAGGAAGGTACTCGCGTACCCACCTTCGCCAGAATCCATCCACAATGTGTTGTGTTAGTTTCCAGCTATCACGAAGTACACCACCATCGCCTACCAGTGCCGTTTCCGGTTGTTTCACTCCGCTTGATCCGTACAGCAAAAAATGGTTCGGAGTCAGTGCTTCGTCATCGGCTTGCTCCAGGGGCAAATATGTTAGTGGCCGTGAGTTCACTACACCTTCCGCCTCCAACAATATTGTCTCCAAAACTTCGTCGCTAGGGTAACGTGGACTATCGGATATTGTTTTCATGGCCGTTTTCACCGATCTCACTAAACGCTCCCATGGTCCACCCATATGCGGAGCTGCTGGGACGTTGAAATGCCATGTGGTGTACGCGTTGGTAAATGTAGAAGCACATTCCTGGCTTATGTCCCGAATCTTCTGTTGCTCTTCGGACAGCTGGCGATTGGCTCCCACAAAGTTGGTGCCGTTATCCGAATACACTTCAAGGGGAACGCCGCGTAGTGCCACGAATCGCCGAAAGGCCACGATACAGGATTTTGACGACAGGCTATGCGTTACTTCAAGGTGGACAGCTCTCACCGTTAAACAGGTAAACAGGGCTATCCATCTCTTCACCAAACTTCGACCTACCTTTACCTCCAATGGCCCAAAATAGTCCACACCAACGTATGTGAATGCTCGTACAAATGGTGTGAGCCGAACACTGGGCAGTGGAGCCATCATCGGGGGCTTGGGAACTGCATGGTTGACCTTACATAGCTGGCATCCCCGCGAAACTTTTCGAATCAAGGTACGAAGTCCGGAAATGTAATACTGTTGTCTCATTTCGTTGTGAACTGTCTCATGATTCGCGTGCAAGAAGCGTCGATGGAAGTTGTCGATAAGCAGCGTCGTAACGTGATGTTTCTTGGGTAGAATCACCGGGTACTTGGTGGAGTAAGACGCTTCTGGAGCCGCTGCAATCCTGCTTCCCATCCGAATTATACCATGGTCGTCCAAGAAGGGAGTTAGTTGGTAGAGAGTACTGGATTTGGCGATCGTTCCTTGCTTTACCAGCGATGCTAGCTCATCCGGGTACGCTTCGGCTTGTGCTTGGCGTAGTACTGTGTATTCGGCTTCCTGGATTTCATTACGTTGCAGGACAGAGCCTCGTCCTTCTGCTGGGATCCTTTTCTTCAGTACAGTAACTGCTCGATGTACGTAGGCCATAGCTCTGACCAGACGGTTCCAGTTGGAAAAACGGCATTCGTTTATCAGCTTCTCCATAACATTGTGTTGGTGCAAAAATACGGGACGAAGTTCTTCACTGGTGGTGGTTGGATTCTCCACTTCCACAGGCCATTCGATACCTTCTTTCGTGAGAAACTCAGGGCCCTTAAACCAGCGGCTATCGGGAGCAAAGGTGGGGCCGGAGACCCACTTAGTGGCTTCGTCAGCAACATTCAAGCCTGATGGAACGTACCTCCATTGATCCAAGCTGCTCAGGGAGAGTATCTCCCCCACACGGAATCCCACGAATTGGTGATAGCGACGGCTGTCCGAGCGTAACCATGCCAGCACAGTGGTCGAGTCCGACCATAGGAAACGTTTATTGATCGGAAGTGTTAGCGAAGAACAAACTGTTTGCATTAGTCGTGCCCCAATCATGGCTGCCTGTAACTCCAACCGTGGAATCGAGAGTGGTTTCAGGGGTGCCACCTTTGTCTTCGAAGCCACCAAAGCGCATCTAGTTCCTTCTGCGCAACGCAGTCGGAGGTATGCCACGCAAGCATAGGCTGATTCGCTTGCATCTACAAACACATGTACTTGGAGCTCTCGTAGGGATTCAGACGAAAGATTTCCGAAGTAACATCGAGGCACCTGAACTTCTCCAATGAGTGCCAATAGCTCCGACCAACGGTACCACATATCGAGCAAGTTCTCAGCAATCGGTTCGTCCCAATTGGTTCCGGATCTCCAAATCTCCTGCATCTTTTTTTTTTTTTTTTTTTTTTTTTTTTTTTTAACTCTTTATTTGTTCCAAATTCAAAAGAAATTACATTTCATTTTTTAACCTAGGTGCTCCAGTTACTGCAGTAACGTACCAGCCTTAATTTTTATGATATATATCTAAGTGTTTTTACATTGTTCATGTCTTGGCAATTCAGTATTTTAAACAGGTTTTTTAACCTGCATGTCAGTATAACAATTGATATCTTAAAACTAAAAACTAAAACTAAATCTTATCTAAGTATAAAGGGAATTAATCGTTGCAATTGAGGATTGCAACGATTTTTGCCTGAAATTATTAATTATTTTGTTGGACATTTGTGCTAAAGTCTCAACATTCGAAATTCTATGTACTTCGGTTGTACTGTACCAGGAAGGCAACTTCAAAATCATCTTCAGAATTTTGTTCTGAATCCTTTGAAGTGCTTTTTTCCTGGTAGTGCAACAACTAGACCATATTGGTACAGCGTAAAGCATGGCCGGTCTAAAAACTTGTTTAAATATTAGAAGTTTATTCGTCAGGCAAAGTTTGGATTTCCTGTTAATAAGAGGATACAAACATTTTATATATTTGTTACATTTGGCTTGAATGCCCTCAATGTGATCTTTAAAAGTTAATTTATGGTCAAGTATTAATCCAAGATATTTCACTTGGTTTGACCAGGAAATAGGAACTCCGTTCATAGTGACTATGTGACTACTACTAGGTTTCAAAAAGGAAGCCCTGGGCTTATGTGGAAATATTATAAGTTGAGTTTTGGAAGCGTTGGGAGAAATCTTCCATTTTTGTAAATAAGAAGAGAAAATATCTAAACTTTTCTGAAGTCTGCTGCAAATAACACGAAGACTTCTTCCTTTAGCGGAAATGCCTGTGTCATCAGCGAACAAAGATTTGTGGCAACCCTGAGGCAAATCAGGGAGGTCCGAAGTGAAAATGTTATACAATATAGGCCCAAGAATGCTACCCTGAGGAACTCCTGCTCTAACAGGTAGTCGATTAGATTTGGAATTTTGATAATTTACCTGCAGAGTTCTGTCAGTTAAATAATTTTGAACTAATTTCATAATGTAAAGTGGAAAATTAAACTTTTTCAATTTAGCAATCAAACCTTCATGCCAAACACTGTCGAATGCTTTTTCTATGTCTAGAAGAGCAACTCCAGTTGAGTGGCCTTCAGATTTGTTTGAACGAATTAAATTGTTAACTCTTAAGAGTTGATGAGTAGTTGAATGCCCATGGCGAAATCCAAACTGCTCATCTGCAAAAATTGAGTTCGTATTGATGTGAAGCATCATTCTATTCAAAATTATCTTTTCAAAAAGTTTACTTATTGAAGAAAGCAAACTTATTGGACGGTAGCTAGAAGCTTCAGCTGGATTTTTATCCGGCTTCAAAATTGGAACAACTTTTGCATTTTTCCATTTATCAGGAAAGTATGCCAAATGGAAACATCTGTTAAATAATTTTACCAAGAAAGACAAGGTACTCTCTGGGAGTTTTTTGATGAGGATATAGAAAATTCCATCATCACCTGGAGCTTTCATATTTTGAAAATTTTTAGTTATAGACCTTACTTCGTCCAAATCAGTCCCCCAGGAATCATCAAAAATATTTTCCCGAGAGAAAATATTCAGAAAATCCCGAGCAACCTGATTCTCAATAGGACTAGTAAGACCCAAACTGAAATTATGGGAACTCTCGAATTGCTTAGCAAGTTTCTGAGCTTTTTCCAAATTTGTGATCAAAATTTTACCACCTTCTTTAAGCGCTGGAATAGGCTTTTGAGGTTTTTTCAAAATTTTTGTGAGTTTCCAAAAGGGTTTGGAACTCGGGTCTAATTTAGAAATATTATTTTCAAAAGTTTTGTTCCTCAGGGCAGAGAATCGCTTTTTAATTTGTTTTTGCAAATCCCGCCAGATAACTTTCATGGCAGGATCGCGTGTTCTTTGAAATTGTCTCCTACGGACATTTTTAAGACGGATCAAGAGCTGAAGATCATCGTCTATTATAATTGAATCGAATTTAACCTCGCATTTTGGTACTGAGGCAGCTCTTGCTTCAACTATAGAAGTAGTCAGAGATTCAAGAGCATAATTAATTTCATCTTTGGTTTGCAAAGGAATGTTTGGATCGAAGTTATATTCCATAAATGTTCGATACTGCTCCCAATCAGCTCTATGGTAATTGAAAGTAGAGCTGTTGGGATTACAAATTATTTCTTGGGATATTTCAAAAGTTACTGGAAGGTGATCAGAACCGAAGTCAGCATGGGTAACCAATTGGCTACAAAGTTGACATGAATCAGTTAAGACCAAATCAATAGTGGAGGGATTTCTTGCAGAAGAAAAGCATGTTGGGCTGTTTGGATATTGAATAGTGTAATAACCTGCAGAACAATCATCAAACAGAATATTACCATTGGAATTGCTTTGAGCATTATTCCATGAGCGGTGTTTTGCATTAAAATCACCAATAATGAAGAATTTAGACCTATGACGGGTAAGTTTCTGGAGGTCACCCTTGAGAAAATTCTTTTTCTGGCCTACGCATTGGAATGGCAAATAGGCAGCTATAAACGTAAGTTGTCCAAATTTTGTTTCAACAGAAACTCCCAAAGTTTCAAAAACTTTGGTTTCAAATGAAGAAAGAATTTTATGTTTGATTCGTCTATGAATAATGATGGCAACGCCACCACAGGGTCCATCAAGACGATCATTTCTATAAATCAAGTAATTAGCGTCCTTCTTAACCTTATGGGCAGGTTTAAGGAACGTTTCAGTTATAACGGCAATATGCACGTTATGAACTCTCAAAAAGTTAAATAGCTCGTCTTCATTATCTTTAAGAGATCGAGCATTCCAATTTACAATATTTAATGCTTTAAAATCCATTACTGAATTTTAAAGTCATGACAATATTATTTGCAAATTTTACTCCAGTTTGAATAGCATCAAACATGGAGTTAGATTTAAGCATATCAGAAATCATGTCAATTAATGAATTCTGTAAAAATTCCATTTTGGGGGCAGTAATGCTTCCTAAGTCAAAATTGTCAAAATTTCCGTTAGAACGTTGGTTAGTATTTTGATTTCTACCCGCTGCAATAGCAGCATAGGTAGCTCCATTAACTCGCTGAACATTGTTAGCAGCGAGGGGAGTAGGTACAGATGAAACATTTGAAGCAGGGGAGATATTTGTACCTACGGGTACGAATGTAGAATTTGTTCCTCGCTGACCGTTGTTAACAGCAGAGGAATTTGTACCTGGTCGGAAACGTGGAGCGTTTCCTACCTGACGGTTAGAACGAGATTTTAGGATCGCTTTGCGAGTCTTACATTCCCAAAAATTGGATTTGTGGTTTTCACCACAATTTGAACATTTAAATTTCTTAGGATCTTCCTTCACAGGACAGTCGTCCTTTGCGTGAGAGGAATCACCACAATTCATGCATTTAGCTGGCATGTAGCAATTTTTAGTTCCGTGACCCCATCCCTGGCACTTACGGCACTGAGTGAGGTTTTGGAAATTTCCTCCAGTCTTCCTGAAGTGTTCCCACTTCACTCGGACATGGAGCATAAGGCTAGCTTTTTCTAAGGCCTTAAGGTTGTTTAGTTCACTAGACTTGAAGTGAACTAAATAAAAATCATTAGAAATCCCGTTGCGCGAATCGCCAGGACGGGATTTCATTTTCATTTTGATTACTTGGAGTGGCACAACTCCAAGTAATTTTGCCAGTTCATCTTTGATCTGATCCAGACATTCACCACTGGGCAGTCCTTTCATGACAACCTTGAACACACGTTCAGTTTTGTTGTCGTTAGTAAAAAATTTGTGCTTCTTCTCAGTAAGATACTTGAGAAGACATTTAAATCCGTCCAAGGTTTCAGCCAATACACGGCATTCACCCCGACGTCCAATTTGTAGTGAAAACTTAACTTTCATGAAATTCAAAAGTTCCATGCGAAGAGCATGGAAATCGGTAGTGGTTATCACAATAGGGGGAATCTTTTCCTTCTTGGCATTAAGCCGGGAAAGTTTACTAGAATTTTTCTTGGATGATGGATCATTCTCATCATCCGTGAGCAAATCAAATTGATTACTCAAATTAATTTCATCAGAAGGGGGGTCAAGAGTTTGCCCCTTTCTTTTGCGTTTAGGCGCCATGGCGGCAGTAAATTTTTATCCAAATCGACTTCCAAGCAGATTACTATAAGAATCTGAAGGATCGAAGAGGAATTTTCCAATTCGATATCCAAGTAGGATTACCTCGGGTAGGGTCCAAACAAGGATCGAAGAGGAATAAGAGTTGAACAAGGTAGAAAATTTTTACAGGTTGAGCACTGAAAAGTGCTGTTTAAATTTGTTGTAGCTTTAGGTAGTAGTAACACTTCCTTCAGCAAAAAGCAAATAGATCCGCACGGCAAGAGAGCACGATGCGGACTGATTTCTCCTGCATCAATATTTTCCCATGGATGGTGTAGTGGGAAATGAATCCAAGTGGATCGAACAACTTCATTACCATTTGGAGCACCTGTCGCTTGGTGGGTATCACGGTTCCGTTGAATAGTTGTTGGATTTGTAGACCAGATGCGTCGAAAGTGAATACGTCCTTGATTGGGTCCCAAATCAATCCAAGTACTCGTTCAGAAGTGACTTGCTTGTCGGAATTGATCGGTTTGTCTGATGTCGATGCTTCAGGCTCTCCTAGAGCAGCTAGAACTTCGGGTACATTTGATCGGAATTTGTGGATTTCAAACCCTGCTGCTGCGTGAATAGTCTTCACCTCCTTCACGAGCTGCACCGCTTCGTCGACGGTATCCATACTGTCCAGGAAATCATCTACATAATGGTTTTTAGTGATGGCCTCGACAGCTCTGGGATAGATGGTAGCGTACTCTTCTGCGTTTTTGTTTTTTATGAATTGCGCTGAGCAGGGCGAGCACGTGGCACCAAACGTGGCGACATCCATAATGTAGATTTC